CGCCTCAAACTTGGAAATCGATGAAGCCACCAGTGATGTTCCCGCTGATTTTGTTGAGTTTGGACTATTTGCTGTAAATTCAGAAAGGGTCTCATTGGCTGCAAATAAACTGAAACGTTCGTTTGTCCCTGCTCCTGATGGTTTGCCTGCAGTTATAATATGCCGCTGTATTGTCGCTTTAGCACAACCGTTGTGTGATATCTTCAATCGCTCACTTCAGCAAGCAAAATTCCCTCGCATTTGGAAGCAATCGTTTATGACACCCATTTTTAAACATGGTGATCGTTACAATGTTGTTAACTACCGGGGAATCACGAGTCTCTCAGCTGTCGCAAAATTGTTTGAGATTATAGTGGGTGGAGTTATTCTCGATGCCACAAAAAGCTACATATCCACTGATCAACACGGATTCATGCCCGGACGATCGGTTACCACAAATTTGTTGAATTTTACGGAGTAAAAAGCGCGGCGTTCGATAAAATTAATCATAACATACTGCTACGCAAGTTATCTCGTCTTGGAGTTTCTATGCAATTGGGTTCTTTAATTTTGAAAAATGTGTTGTTTTTTATACATCATCCGATAGAGCTTCGTTTTCTGAGCACAGCGATATTTTTTTCGAACCCACACACTTTCATCTCGATTTTTAAATTAAGATTTAAAGCAAATTAAGATTTAAAGCAAAATTATTTAAAATAGTTCCAGTGTACCCAAATTGATTAAATTTTGGGTTTGGGTTTCATTTTTAATGCAGATTACGAATATGTATTTACCTCAATACCCTTAAAGAACCCAATTGGTTTTTTGGTTGGAATCCTACCTTACAGAGCGTGTACTTCGAGTGAAGGTTGAGGGTTGTGTGTCTTCGCCGTTTTCCAACAAGTCTGGAGTTCCACAAAGTAGTAATCTCGGACCGTTGCTGTTTATTCTGTTCTTCAACGATGCTGCTTTGGTTCTGGGCGAAGGATTCAAACTGGTCTATGCAGATGATTTAAAGCTATACATTGTGGTGCGCACACAAGAAGATTGTTGGCTTCTGCAAAACTCGCTGACTTTGTTTGCCGATTGGTGCCAGAGAAACAAACTGACTATTAGCGTGGAAAAATGTCGGATAATCATGTTTCACCGAGGGGGACGACTCTAACTACGATGCAAAAAAGATTGTGTTTTGCTGTGGCTAGCTGCGTGCACGCTGAGTAGATAGAAAGAAGATTGATGACGATTCTGAAGATTTCCTGCAAAAAGATGATGAGCGATGCAAGTAGATGCGACAAATGAAAAAAGATTTTTCGAAGATTGGTTCGCTAGTGTGAGATTTGTTGAGCATCTAAACTTCAGATTTAGATGTGTCGCCCCCCTCGTGTTTCACCGCATGGTACATCCAATTTTGTTTGACTAGCTCACATCGACGGCGATACTCTTACCACAGTTACCAGTGTGACTGATCTAGGGGTTCAACTAGAAACAAAAATGACTTTTGATTTACACCGTTCAGCGATCATATCGAAAGCAACGCGACAGTTGGGCTTTATTTCCAAAGTTGCAAAGGATTTTTTGGATCCACATTGTTGGAAGTCATTGTACCAACAATCAATACGAAACAACGATTTTAAATTGGCTCACTACTTGACTAGCCTATTGGTCCCAAGCAAACGATTAACGTACCCCATTCTAGTAGAAATTCTAGTACTACGCAATATTTGTTTTGATTCGCTATGAAAGTTTGACAGATAAAATGAGGGGTTATTGGTTTTTCCTATGTTTCGAGGGGTGAATCGATTAGCTTGGGATCGAAGAGAGTACCAGCAACAATCAATACGAAACTAACGATTTTAAATTGGCTCACCACTTTAGTAGCCTATTGGTCCCAAGCAAACGATTAACGTACCCTATTCTAGTCGAAATTCTAGTACTATGCAATGTTTGTTTTGATTCGCTATGAAAGTTTGACAGATAAAATGAGGGGTTAGTGGATTTTCCTATGTTTCGAGGGGTGAATCGATTAGCTTGGGACCGAAGACAGTACCACAGCTGAACCAAAAAGTTGAGCACGTTATTTCGGGACCTACTAGTCTTAGAGTTACCTCTATGGTACCAGAGCTGAGCCAAAAAGTTGAGCACGTTATTTCGGGACCTACTAGCATAGAGGTAACTCTAAGACCACTGGGTCCCGAAGAAAATCATTATTATTTTTGGCTCACTCAGTACCAGAACAACGGTCCCAAGCAGTCCCAAGCTATTTCACTCACCCCTGCATGTTCTGCATGAATCCACACACCCCTGATGTTATCTGTCAAACTTTCATAGCGAATCAAAACAAACATAGTGTAGTAATAGAATTTCAACTACAATAGGGTACGTTAATCGTTTGCTTGGGACCAATAGGCTACTAAAGTGGTGAGCCAATTTAAAATCGTTAGTTTCGTATTGATTGTTGCTACTAGTCTTAGAGTTACCTCTATGGTACCAGAGCTGAGCCAAAAAGTTGAGCACGTTATTTCGGGACCTTCTAGTCTTAGAGTTACCTCTATGATTGTACCATAGAGGTAACTCTAAGACTAGAAGGTCCCAAAGAAACGTGCTCAACTTTTTGGCTTAGCTCTGGTACTCTCTTTGGTCCCATGCTAATCGATTCACCCCTCGAAACATAGAAAAACCCAGTAACCTCTCATATTATCTGTCAAACTTTCATAGCGAATCAAAACAAACATTGTGTAGTACTAGAATTTTGACTAGAATGGGATACGTTATTCGTTTGCTTGGGACCAATAGGCTAGTCAAGTAGTGGGCCAAATTAAAAACGTTAGTTTCGAATTGATTGTTGATTGTACCACAAACGAAGTGACAGACGGAGCGGCTCGAAAACTTTGGTAACTAACCTGCTATTGCAATTTTGCAGTGTACCACATGGCAACACCACTACTACTGGATTGAACCACATGGCAACACTACTACTGGATTGAACTAGCATTTTCACCAAATGTACTAGAATGTTTTGGTTCTATCTCTTTCACTCTACTCAAAACTGAAATGCATAAAAAAAATGACAAAATGATACGCACTCTTTGCACACTGTCAAAGAATCATTGTACACAAAATCAACTGTGTTCAAATCAAAACAAAAAAAATAACCCATCTGGTGGATGATGGCATAAGCTTCCAAGAAAATTCTATTACAGTGAACCACATTATTTAAATGGATTTCTTCGCCAGTTAGTCGTCTGTCACTTCGTTTGTGATTGTACTGTGCACTTATTCATCCAATTTTTGAAAATGTGTCCGTCGTTTGGCTCACCATGTCACGTGGTGCCTAAGGATCGAACGGGTTCAGAAACGGTTCATTCGTCTGGCACTGAGAAACTTGCCGTGGAGTGATCCTGACAATTTGCCGCCGTATCCTGATAGATGCCGACTGTTGGGCTTAGACACACTGGAACAACGACGGAAAGTACAGCAATCGTTGCTTATTGCTAAGCTGTTGAATGGTGAAACTGATGCCCCGACCTGCTTGCGATGTTGAACTTTCGTGTGCCGAGCGGATTTCTTCGGAATACAACGCTACTGCAACCAAATTTTCACCGAACCATGTTTGGGAACAACGAACCAATCTCAGCGTGTATTCGTGCGTTTACGGCTGTCGAAGATTTTTTCGAGTTCAATGAACCAACCGAACGTTTTGCAAATCGGATTAGGTCTGTGTTAAATTAGCTCTAATTTTATTCATTAAGACTAAATTGTCAGATGAATTATTTTAAATACAAATAAAAATTATCCTGATTCCACCAAAGCACTTGGGCTAATGATCGATGCTTCGTTCAAAGGTGCATCGTCATATTACGTCTCCGCTGTGATATTTCTAAGGCTAGATTTAAGTATGTTCATATCGACCTTATTGGACCTCTTCCACCATCACAAGGACATCGTTATCTTCTAACGAAGATCGATCGTTTTTCACGTTGGCCAGAAGCAGTTCCGCTAACCGACATGACAGCCCCAACGGTGGCACAAGCGTTGTGCTCTACGTGGATTTCAAGGTTTGGTGTTCCTGAAAACATAACAACGGACCAAGGACGTCAATTCGAGTCGGAATTATTCAATGAGCTGACCAAAATGTTAGGAGTTTATCATATCCGGACTACTGCATACCATTCACAAGCAAATGGAATTGGAACATAAGACGTTGAAAGCTTCCATTATGTGCGTCAATCCGAAGGATTGGTACATTGAACTTCCGATGATCTTGCTTGGGCTGCGCGTTTTATACAGAGAAGATTTGAACTACTCAGGGTTACGTATTCCTGGTGTATTTTTTGATGCGCCGGCTTCAATTGTTGATCGAACAGATTTTTGTAAATTGTTGCATCGCTCCTTTGAGAATGTAAAATCACCCAAACTCCTGTACGCACGTGTTCATTAGAGTAGACTCCGTGAAGCGATCACTTCAGCATCCATATGAGGAACCATATGAAGTGGTACAGCAGCGGTCTGACAAATATATGGATGTCATCATATCAGGGAAGGCTCATAGCATACCGATCGACCGGATTAAGCCTGCTTTTATATGCAGTCCAGACTTGGGACATCATTCTTCGGACGATCAACGAACTAAAGTAACATTAACAAGACTTCGCATTAGATTTCGAAAATCGTCAGTTAAAAAAAATTACAATTTCTATGGGGCATCCCAATGAGTATAATTTATGCGTCCTTCATCAAAAGCGTCTTCTTTCATCTTAAATCTTCTCTGAAGACACCATATTGATTAAACAGGATCATCATGCGTTTTGGACCACTGTGCACTTGGATGTAAGAAAAATTTGTTTTGCGTATATAAGGAGCGTCCATCCGCATTTGTGCCGAATGCCAGTTACATCAAACATACTTAAGCCAAATGGCAGACACAGCCAAACCGAACAGATTCTTAAAGGGACGTTCTTTCAATTCTACGCTAGCGGTAATACAGCTGTTAAAAAAACTGACAATTGTAATGTATTCTCTATGAAGCTGTCTATGTTCGATCTAAATATAAGGTATGAAAATTACAATTAGTCGCTAGGCTTTCGCTGGCGGGAACGTTACTGCCAGTGCACAGTTTTCCCATCTTAAATTATTATACTCACAAAACCTGTCGAGATATTTCACAGACTTTTAACACATGCATTAAGCTTCTATCACCTACCCCCCTCTAAAGCTAAAATAACCCTAGCTAGTTCTAGCAGTTTAAAAAATCCCTAGCACAATTTGGAAGCAGATTCGTTAGCTACTAGCTGATGCCAAATCTTCGACATCTGCAGCGAAAGAAAAATTTATGAAATATTTCCAACGGTTCGCTCGAATGTACTCGATATCGGTTACCTTGCTGTGGTATTGGGATTCTTCGTTGGCATAGGAGAGCAGTATGGCCGGCAAGGATTGGAGATACTGTTCCGCAAGGGCCGTCTCGCTGCGAACGCACTGCATGGCAAAGGCACACTTGCGACCGACGAGAGCGTCTGGAATTTCACCGGATTGTGCAGGCGGAGCCTGAGCTAGTTCCCGCTGAGCTGGGGTGGACCCGTTGTCCGACTACAATGTAACAATTGAGAGTGATCGGGTTAGTTTGTGTGATAAGAGAGTGCACTGAAATTGGCCAAGCCGCATCATGATTGCATGAACTTTACCTTCACCGAAGCTAAATTTGGAATGGTGGATTAAATAATAACAACACACGTGGAGACGTTCCGATATTCGTAGAAAATCTGCACGTCAAGCGATAACAAACCCTGTTTCAACATCAATCAACTTACCGCAGTGCCCCGGACGGAATTTCTCAGCCGGATCCGGCTGATGCCGAGCGTTTTCGAGAGAGCTTTCTGGTATTCGGCAAAGATTCCTTTCTCCACGCGTTCGCAAAGATCGCTACAAATCGTAAAAAATAACTCAATCAATGTCAATGTCAAACTACGTTACGTGATCGGTTGGCAGGTATTTACTTACTTGTGCGCAGCGAGCAGATCCATGAGCACGTGTATCCTCTCGTTGACGACATTGCGCTGCAATTGCACGTAGCGCTCGGATTGCCGTGCCGCTGCTTGTGCACTTTGGGAGATGGTATCGAAGGTACGTTCGCCTCCGAACACGTCTCGCACCTCGAGACCTTGCAGGATCATATCGACCTCGGCCATATCACGGGCCTGCTGTTCGGCACGAAATGCCTGCTCGTCGAAGATGTTGCGCAGCCTGTGAAGGGAATAGAGGATTTTTCGCAGTCGATCCCGACTGGCGATCAGCTTTTCCTCATCCTCCAAGGGTAGATCGACGTCTTCCCGCAGGCGGCTGAATTCGTCCAGCTGTTTCTCGTACATGACACGCATCCGGTACTGATAGTCGGCAGTTTTGTCGCTCAGGAAGGTTACCAGGATGGGCGAGCAGCCGAGGACGGGATGCATCGAGACGACGGTGAGCCACGTTTGAAGGCCATGGCGGCGTTCTTCGATCAAGGAATCCAGCATCAGTTGCTTCGGTGGAAGGATGGGGATCATTCTGTTGGAGATGTAGGAAGAAAAAAGTTTGTATAGTTAGCGGACGATAGTTTCATACACATTTCTCGGATGATATCGAACTCATTTTTGACCGTTTCAGTCCCATTTTATTCTCAGGCTTATTTTAAGGAATATTTAATACTTTTTTTTAGAATTAGGCTATTTTTGGATGATCTAAAACGTCTAATTTATTCTAAATTTTTGATTTTCATATTTTCAGAATCAACAGTGTCGAATATTGGTTTCCGGCCTCTAAACGTCGTCCCTGTTCCGGAAATATCCATACAGTAGGATGTTTTGTGGAAACTGAAAGCCGCCTCAAAGATGGTGTTGGCCATCGATTTTCGCCCTCTAAACGTCACCTTCGTTTCGAAAATATTGAAAGGAATTTCAGAAATTAAAAACCGCCATCGTAATTGTGTCGAATATCGGATTCCGGTCCCTAGAGTGGTCCCCATTCTGAAAATGCCCATTAGGGTGCCAAGGATTGTATGGGAAAAAAATGACCATCGAATTTTACAAACGGACCATAAAGCAGGTTTGCGCCAAATGACGAATCGATCTGATGCAACCTTCTCCGATTTGGACATGCATAGCTGGACAAACTTGGAAAAACATGAGGCAAAATTAAGGCTAAAACGCAATGTGGGCGGAAGCGGAACGGAAACGAAAAGCTTGACAGATGTCATAAATGACATCTAGATGCCTAACCGAAGTCGATTTGGTTCTAACTAGTTTTCAATCCGACAAGTAAAGGGCGAACACGAAATTATTGCGACACCGAAAATGTCATGCCAATTTTCTTATAATGTTTAGAATCAAACCAAAATTTTAGGGTAGTTTTATACATATATTTACTTCAAAAATCAAAAGAAAAGTTAATCGATGGAGCCGTGAGTGTAAAATTGAACGCATTTTCGCTTGATGCCCTCCATCAAAGTCATCCGGTACCAGTTTCTCAGTTTTTTTTTCCATTTTCTTAACATGTCCTTCTCGTCTTTGACTGTCTTCTTGCTCTTCCGAAGTTCCCGCTTCATTATTGCCCAGTACTGCTCCACCGGGCGCAGCTCCGGACAGTTTAGCGGATTCATGTCCTTTGGAACAAAATGGACAGAATTGGCCTCATACCACTCCAGGGCACTTTTAGAATAGTGGCATGATGCCAAATCTGGCCAAAATAGCGGAGCTTCGTCGTGCTGCTGCAAGAACGGCAAAAGGCGCTTCTCGAGGCACTCAGATTTGTAGATCTCGCCATTTACTGTGCCCTTTGTCACGAAAGGCTCACTCCTCAGTCCGCAAGAGCAGATGGCCTGCCAAATGAGATATTTGGAGGCGAACTTCGACATTTTCTTCTTCTTAAATTTGTCGTCCACATCGAACTTGCTCTTGCCGGTGAAAAACTCCAACCCCGGAATTTGCTTAAAATCGGCTTTTATATACGTTTCGTCGTCCATCACACAGCAGCCATATTTTGTCAGCATCTTCTCGTAGAGGTTCCGTGCCCGAGTTTTATCCGTCGATTGTTGCCGCTCATCGTGGTTTGGGAAGTTCTGTACTTTGTATGTATGTAGTCCAGCTCTCTTCTTTGCATTCTGGACGTAGCTCTGCGACATGCCGATCTTTTTAGCCAAATCACGGCTTGAGACGTTGGGATTTGCTTTTATCATCCGCTTCATCTTTCCCTCCGTCTTTTTGTTCTCCGGTCCCGGTTTTCTTCCAGCTCCTTTGCCGTGGTCCAACGTCAACCGCTCCTGGAACCGCTTCAACACTCTGGAGACGGTTGAATGGTGAATGCTCAACATTTTTCCCAACTGCCGGTGCGACAGGTCAGGATATTCCAGGTGTTTGGAAAGAATTTGTTCTCTCAACTCGCGTTGGTTCACCTCCATTTTCGTTGAATCGAAAAACACGACTTCGAGTTTGACAGCATGTACACAATACACATCAATGAGAAAGTGTGCAAAATTTGGTGGATTTTACCCAATGGTAAAAAAGTTATGCCCTGTTGAATGTGTCGCAATAATTTCGTGTTCGCCCTTTAGGCTTATACCCCCTACAGACTATGGCTTAAACGCTGTACAGACTGGAGAGTTATAACATGTTATAACGGTTGTCAAATAATTCGAACACAGAAACCACCATCAAGATAGCGCTATAACATGTTATAACTATGTAGTCTGAACTTAGCATTATATCATGTAATATAGGCTGTCTTGCAATGAGCACTCATACATAGGATTTCCAGTGAAAACTAGATGTATGAGTGTTCATTGCAAGACAGCTTATATTACATTATATAAGCCATAGTCTGTACGGGGTATTACTCAGATCGGGCTTTTCCGCTGCCACTGCCGTCCCGCTTCCGCTGTCATTGCGCTTGGCCCTTTACTCATGGATGAGTTTCTGAACTTAATGATTAGTTGAAAATTTTCGAATACACCTTTTTTGTGAGATTCAAAATAGCCGATTTTTTTTTGCAAAAACTTGAATGATTGACCATAACAAACAATTGTACCAAGTAGGGTGCCAATGAAATTTTGTTCTAAACAGCCCACATACAACATGTTCATTGCCTTGAAAAAAGGCCCTTTTAGTCTTTCAACCGATTGTCATGAAATGTTTAGGGAATGTAATACTATATATAAGCTTGATTTAAGTATCTTTATGTCACTATATTTCTTCACCAAACCCAAATGCCCGAACTTTCTTCTTAATTCCACCCATAAGGTTTTGTACAACGGTTTAATCGACATTTTTTATGCTTTCAACCATGGTTTCAACATTTCCTGTTCCGTAGTGACAACTTTAGGATGCTTACGGAGTTCGTGCTTCATTATAGCCCAGTATCTTTCGCAACTCCAGTGTGTTTGGGGGATTGAGATCCTTCAGCACGAAATAGACCCCTTCCGCCTTGTAGTGGAGTAGTGAAAAGAGGCTAGATCTCCCTAATAAAAATTGTATGGTTAATTTGCTTAACGACGTGTTCTGGGTATCATCCAAACCATTTGTGGAATAGTTCAATGATTTGGGTTATCGTTCGTTTATGGTTATTTTTTATTATAGCTGGCCAAAAAATTGTAGGAACGTTGTGTGATTTGAGCAACGGAACCAATAGTTTCTTCAGGCACTCATCCATGTAGACTTTTCCATTTACGGTTATAGGTGTTGTTACGAAAGGCTTGTTCCGTTTTCCGTACGAACAAATCGCCTACCAAATCATTCGGAACTTCGACACTGAAACATCTAACTTACCTTTCGCAGTCACATACTGGTTTCCCGGAATTTGTTTGAAGTCCGCTTTTACGTATGTTTCATCGTCTTCTTCTTCTTTTTCTTTCCTTTATTTAACGTCGGTCTCTGTTCCGCAATCTAGTGCCAATTACCGACGGACATCGATTGCCATCCATTGACGGCAATCGAATGTGCAGGTAGGCAGCTTCCACACCTGCGTAGGATATCGCACCCATTCACAACAACACACATGGGCCGGGACCAACGGCTTTACTTCCCTTCCGAAGGAAGACGTGACCAGAGATTTAAAAAAAAATCTCGCGCACGCACTGTTCATTCGACTACATTTTCAAAATCCCTGCGTTGGATATATCTATCGCGTTTGCTGAGACGTTCCTTGTCCCGGATCAACTGGAACGTGTTGAATGACCTTGATATCGATACAGCAGCCGCTCGATATAATAGCCTTTTGCGCGACTGTGTTTGTGCTTCAGTACCGAAGTGCCAACCTCCAAGAAAACCGCCTTGGTCTAACACTACTCTCCGCAACCTGAAACGAGTGCGATCTAGAGCTCTCCGTGCTCTCACTCATCGACGATGTACCTTTACCAAGCGAAATTTTTCAATTGCCAGCAATGATTATCGTCACTACAACAAGCTTCTTTACAAGAGGTATGTAATTCGTACTCAACATAATCTGCAATGCCACCCCAAGGGATTCTGGTCGTTTGTGAATACTAAGAGGAAGGAAACTGGACTGCCGTCAAAAATGTTTCTCGGCAATGACGTAGCATTGACAACTGAGGACAAAGCATCTTCTCGAATGACTCCCCATCGCAAGCAGAAATTGAGCGAGCCGTCCGTGATGTGCCAACCGACGTTGTAAACATGGATGTTTTTGCCGTAGATGTACAAATGGTTCTCTCTGTGATGAGTAAAACCAAATCATCATTTTCACCAGGTCCGAGTGTTATTCCATCTGCAGTCCTAAAAAAATGCTCCGATATCTTAGCTGCTCCGTTGTCCTTGCTCTTCAACCTGTCACTTCGTCAACAGAAATTTCCCGCACTATGGCAACGGTCTACCATGTTCCCTGTTTTCAAGAAAGGAGACAAACGCAATGTGGAAAACTACCGTGGGATTACCTCGCTTGGGGTTGAATCTAAGGTGTTTGAGTCGCTGATAAATGAGAGATTGTTTGCTTCCTGCAAGCATTACATAAGTACATGTCAACATGGTTTCTTTCCTGGCCGCTCCGTGGAAACTAATCTCGTCAGCTTTACGTCGTTCTGTATGGAAATTGTATGCAAGAAACTTCAAGTGGATGCCATCTACACTGATCTTAAAGCTGCGTTTGATAGAGTTGTGCACGACGTTCTGCTAGCAAAGCTTTAAAAAATTGGATGTTCTGTTTCCTTCTGCAGCTGGCTTAGATCGTACCTCGTGCAACGTGAAGTTACTGTATGCATTGGAAACTACTCATCGTACTGTTTCTCGAACAGATCAGGAGTTCCACAGGGTAGCACTTTGGGACCAATGCTCTTCTCTTTATTTGTGAACGATGTAACGTTTATTCTACTACGAGGAGGTAAATTGTTTTTTGCCGATGACTTGAAGATTTATCTAGTCGTTTGAGGCTATGCCGACTGTTTAGAACTACAAAACCTTCTTGAAATCTTTAATGATTGGTGTGAACGTAATTTTATGGTCCTGTGCGTCTCAAAGTGCTGCGTAATTAGTTTCCGTCGAACTAGGACTGCCATTTTGTTTGATTATAACGTTGCTGGAACTGCAGTTCAACGTGTCGATCACGTTGAAGACCTCGGTGTCATGTTGGATGAAAAGCTCACATACACTCGCCACTTCTCAACCACGATCGACAAAGCTAATCGACAGCTTGGATTCATGTTCAAAATATCTAAGGAATTTCGTGATCCTCTATGTTTTAAAGCCCTTTACTGTTCATTGGTACGCTCACTACTGGAATTCGCGAGTGTAGTCTGGAATCCCTACCTGTATGGAGTGGACGATTCGAAGCTGTTCAACGCAAATTCGTCAGATACGCACTGCGCTATCTTCCAAGCGACGAAACATATCGCAGGTCGTATTCGTTGCTAAAGTTTTACTCGCAGAATATGATGTTCCTGAGTTACTGGCTAAAATTAATCTGTATGCTCCTGCCCGAACACTCCGTCCGAGAACCTTGCTACATGAAGTAGTACATGCAACCAACTATGCTGCAAACAGTTCCTTTGTCGCCATGATTCATCAATTCAACGAAGCCTCTGACCTATTTGACTTTGACATCAATGCCTCGATATTTCGTCATCGTTTGCTGTTGGCCAATTTTTAATTTTTAATGAGTGACTACATTTAGATTTAAGTGTTTCATTGAGACTATCAAGTCAGATGGACTATAATAATTATAAATAAATAAAACTAATAGAAATTTCACAAGGAAACTCGCGCATTATAAATAATACCCGCTGAGGCCATTTCACCCAAAATTTCATTAAAATTAACCCAAAGGGCAAAATGTTACCGTTTTTTTTAAAGGGCTGCAATTTAGCTGTGGACACCCTTTAGTGGTAAGCGGGATTGCCTCTCACCCCAGAGGGCCTGGTTTCAATAACAGTCGGCGCCGCCGGGATTTTCTGAGGCATAACTACAGGGAAGTAAAGCCTTTGGTCCCCGGTCCATAAGTTGATAGGTTGATAGGTAGGGTCCAGGTGTGGAAGCTGCCTCCCTGGCGTCGGTAGCATTGGTACGGAAAACAAGATCGACGGAAAACAAATCAAGGAAAAAAGGAACTTCATAGATCTTTTAGAAACATTGTAAAACGTTCAAAAGCTTCGTAAACACTCATTGAACTGAGTAGAAGATCTGGAAAAATTCTAGAAGTGCAGCACATTATAAAGAACTAACTAACTTTGTAAAAGCTAAGCAAACTTTCTAAAAGCTTAAAGAACTTCATAAAACTTCAGAGAATTTGGTAGAACTTAGCCATTTATGTAGAAGTGCAGAGAACATTGTAGGACATTGTTGAAAATTAACGAACTTTAGATAAATTTATGAATTTTCTGGAAATCCCGGGATCTTTGTTGAAGTGCTGGGAATTTTTCAACTTTATTAGACTTTTTTTAAACTTCAAGAAACTTGTAGATGTTCAAGGGACATCGTAGATATTCAGGAAATTTTTATATAAATTCGACTTCGTAGAGCTTCAGAGAATTTAGAAGAAATTCAGGATGCTTTGCAAAAAATTGGGAAAACTTCGTTGAAGTTATGGGAACTTTGTTTGATTTTAAGAAACTTAATAGTGCTCCTTTAGGGTACCGTTAAAGTTTAATGGACTTAACATAGAACAGGAAGTTCCGTACGCATTCAGAAAACTTTGTAGAACCTCCCAGGAAATCGAGGAAATTCTAAAAAGTTTGGGGTGAACTTCATAGAAATTCTAAGAACTTAGTATAGAAGTTAAGTGAATTACGTAGTGATTTGAGAAACTTCGTAAGACTTCATAGAAGTACTGTTTTTTTTTAGTTCATGAAGCTTCGTAGAAGATCAGTCAAATTTAAAGAAGCTCAGAGAACTTCGTAGAAGTTTAGGAAATTCAAGATTTAAATTTCAATCAAACATTAATGACACTAAATCTATTAGCTGACAGCTCCTTCCATATAAAGTCCCACCGAGGGGCGCTGAGATGATGATTTTTGCTATTGTAAGCGCACTTATTTAAAATAGTTCCAGTGCATGATGAAATTTCGGATTTCGGTTCCATTTTTAATGCAGATTACTATTTACCTAAATACCCCTAAACAAGCCAATTGGTCGAATTGATAAAATTTGAAAAAAAAAATAATCATGAAACTTGCACGAAGTAAATGAAACTTCGTAGAAGTTAAGAAAATGCTCAATAAGTAATGAATAGGGAACTTTATAGATATCCCAGGAACATTGAAGGAATTTTTCCGCTCCTCAGGAATTGTTTAGTGGCAAAAGGCACCTTCGCAACCTCTGAGTACGGTGCTGGTCATATTTGAATGACCAGCAGAAACAGCCGGTACTCATTGCCGGTGGAAACTTATCAGTCCCATGTGTATATGAATGTCTTTATAACATGGGATAATTATGCGATTACCGGCAGTGCAGTACCAACAACAATCCAAACAAAAGGTCAGAAACTGAACGAAGTACTGGATCTTTTTTTATAAATGTAGACTCTCGACTTCGAGTGGATTTTTTAACAGACCAGCAGCGTTTACAAATAATTGAACAGGAAAAAAATCACGCACTTACAGTCAGAACTGTCGGCATGGCGTAATTATTGCGTTTATAGAGTTTTGCATTCTCATGTTTATTCATTCGGTGCAACAAGGCTTTCCATGGAAACAATTAAAAGATCTGGGTAAATGAATGTGATTCTATCTTTGTTGCACTAAGGGCTCTCTGTTAACTGGATGATTCCAGCCATCCAATAAAATATCGTCAAATATCACTACTAGCTGGCCTCTCTATAACCGTTATAGTGATAAGAACGTAGCACACGTGCATCTACTGCAGTTTGTTTATCAATGCAATACATGTATTGTATTGAGATAACGAAACCAGCTAGATGTACATACTAACTATGGATATGTATAGAACAAGCCATTGTGAGATAACTATCCAGTATGTGCCACACTTCACGTAAGTAATGCACTATCATCCAACAATGCACAAAATGAGCCTCGGACGTTGATTGCCATGTTCATGAAGTGATCAGACGCTAATCAATCACACATCATGTCCATTACTCCATGTAAATAAACACCGATTCATAGCGTCTTGGTGATCTAATGATTGCCTATTCAGAACCTCACCTTCTCCCACCCACACACATTCATACACACTCACCTGTACGGGTATCGCTCCATAAGGTAAGTGTACAGTATAACAAAGTCCCTGTAGCGTCTTCGTACCACCGTATCGTAGGCCTTCGATTTGACCTGAAATGAGAATGGAAGTGGGCATTTGTTTATACCATATCTATTCTACCGTTATACGCATAACTGTCCCATGTTCTATGCGATCCTTATGCACCGTGGGACTCTTATGCGTATAACGGCAGTATTAGGGTGGTTAAAAATATCGACTTTCAAATGATAATTCTCTCGAAATTTGCGCTCATGTGGATGCGAACTCATACTGCACCTTTTAAAGTTTGTATGGGAATGAATATGCGAAAAGTGAACTTTTGGATCTCATCGTTCTAGCCCTTCGCTGTAAGGATCTACGGAAAAGGTTGCTATCTGTCCTAATTTTAAATTTTCCCAGCAACACTTCAAAATAAAAATATTCAAGCAACGAAGCATTTCGTGAATCTACAGGGGTGGAAGGAGGGGGAAGCGCGGACATTAGGGTGGGTCAACTTTATGTGACAGATCACAACCCCCGGCTCCCCACAGCTTTTTCGGTTCGTATCGGGATCCACAGCAACTGCACCCAATTTAAATGAATGTGGCTACCATCTGGATTTGTGGGAAAGCTTTAAAATTTGTATAAGAAACGTAAAAAAAAAAACTACTTATTTGTTTGGCAAAATTTCAAAAATTGCTCAATGTTTACCAAAATTGGGACTTAGATTGAGAAAACTATACAGAACAACTGCGTAGAAGATCGCAAATCGATTCTACTTTTGTGTAAACAGTTATTATTTTTAGACTATCGTCCTGGTGCTCTGTGCATATTTGCAAGCTAATGTGCACCCAGTAGGTATGCGCGGAACACATGACCAAATATGACATGACTAAATAATAACTTTTTACACAAAAGTCGAATCGATTTGCAGTCTTCGACGAACTTGTTCTGTATTTTCTCAATCTAAGTCTGAGCGATTTTTGAACATTTGACAAGCAATTGAATAGTTTTCGACCGTTTCCCAGGAGAAAATAGTACACTTCAGACAGAACCGAACACATCGGAAATCCGAATCACAGCTCCAACGACCGGAATTCCGCTGCAAATGCACCTAGAATTATCTTTGGTGCGGCCATATAAGTCTGCACTCGCGAACTGCTGTAGAAAAAAAAAAACGCGACGAAAAAACATAAACAACATTTGACAACCGGAAAATTTTCACGTCCGTGTAGAACCAGGGTACACTTCGATCTTAAAATAATTTAGTATTTTTTATGTTCGCATATTTTTCGAACAAAGTTTGTTTCTCCAAATGCATGGCGTCCAGAAAATAATCTCGTGAAGGTTTTATTCAAAAATATGCATTCTGGAAAAACTTGCTTTTACGCTGTAGGCCATTTGTTATATGTGCTGAGGTCGAGGATATAATAAATCCAACCTTACATTCATTCCGTCTCGCACGCTGAGCCGGTCAAGTCGCATCGGTCTCGTTGTACGACACTAGTTTTTGAGTTTTTGAGTTTTTCCCCACGCGAGGGTTTTTTCTCGCCAAAGTTAGTTGGCATAGTGTTAAGACAACTAGTGCGCGAGTGAGGAAGCCGTTAATCATACGCCGAGCGCTTTGATTACGGTCCAGCTTTAACATCAACATCTGTAAAATCATCACCACTATCGGCCCATTGATAGCAACAACGAAAGCACGTTAAATTGCCTACCGAGGCGAAAGAGGCATACCAGCTGCAAGGCTATCGACCCAACAGCCGTTGGGGAATACAATAGCATCGCACCAGTCATCTGCCGCCTCAGTGCAATAGGTATACCGTGTCGCTTTTTTTCACCAGTATCGCATCTTCCCGCATGGTCCAGTATTAGATTAGGCTGGGTCATAATTAGGGTGATCCAAAATCTTGTAAATAGTATATATCTATAATTTTTTTTTTCTTGATTTTTTTTTCTCGTACTATTTTTAAGTAGAGTATAGTTAGGGTGATCCAAATTTTTTTTTTTCAGTATATATATATTTTTTTTCTATTTTTTTTTCTTGGTTTTTTTTTTTTTTTGTTTCTTTCATATTACTCTTTAGTAGAGTAAAACTATATCAATTTTTTTTTTGTTTATTTTTGCATTTTTGTTTTTCTATTTTTGATATTATTTGAAATTACTGTAATTATTTGTAAAATATTTACCAAAAACACCATTGCGGCGATATTTAACCGCAATGGATGAAAATGATAAAGGCGGGGGATGGTCGCTTTCCATCTCAGACGACGAAACTCTTAATTCCTCCTCACACGAAAGTCTCGAGGAAGTTGTGGAAATGGAAACCCTTGACGTCTCAGTTGACTCGCTCTCCAGCAAAAATACTGGAGCATATCCCAAGAAAAGGTATCCCCCACAACCCTCTCCCCCACCATCACCTCCTCGTCCTGCACCCCCGACACCATTGCCCCCAAAAATCTCTGCGCTCCCCCGCCTAAAGGCTTACCCAGAAGCCTCGAAAGGCCCATGGGTTGTTTTTTTCCGGCCCAAACAAAAACCTTTGAACATTCCGAGGATCTCTAAGGATCTAACAACACATTTTTCGGCCGTTACCGATATTTTCAAGGTAACACCAATAAAACTGCGCGTTACCGTTGATGACCGGAAGCAGGCTAACCAAATTGTTGCGTGCGAGCTTTTTTCGTTGGAATACCGAGTCTACATACCCAGTAGTGAGGTAGAAATTGAAGGAGTGGTCACCGAAGCGAGTTTGACTAGTGATGATTTCTTGGGTCCCGATTCCTTCGGAATCTTTAAAAACCGTGCCCTGCCGAAGGTGAAGATATTGGACTGCCTTCAAATGCAGTCAGTATCCGTAGTAGGCTCCAAAAAAACGTATTCCTTGTCAAACTCGTTTCGTGTGACCTTTTCGGGTTCAGCGTTACCTCACTACGTTGCTATTGGCAAGGTTCGGCTGCCTGTACGTCTGTTTGTACCTCGGGTAATGAACTGCTCGAAATGTAAACAACTTGGTCATACATCGGACTACTGCTCGAACAAACCACGCTGCGATCAGTGTGGCGAGCAACATCAAGAGGGCCCTTGCGGTGCTCCTCCAAAATGCGTGTACTGCAAGGAAAGCCTACATACCCTGACTGACTGCCCGAGGTATAAACAGCAGGGAGAAAAACTTAAGCGGTCTCTGCAAGCTCGCTCCAAGAGAACTCTAGCAGAACTCTTGAAGAATACCGCTTCATCTTCTCAGACCACACCAAAAAGCAGTAACACGTTCTCCATTTTGCCAGTTGATGATCTAGACTCTGACTCAGAGGTCGGTGAGGATAGTCCGTTTGTCTTTAAAGGCAATACGAGAAAACGAGCAAAAAAACACACCACCGAAAAGCCTCGTAAGGCCACTCGTACGGACCACCCTTCCACCTTGGAAAAATCAAGAAGTAACGGAAATTCACCGAAACCCATTCCACCGGGTTATAAACCTTGTAATTATGACAAGAACTTTCCGTCACTTCCAGGATCATCTAAAACCCCAGATGTTCCAGTTTTTCGGCCAGAAAATCAGCTGAATAATCAGCAAGAACATGCTCCCATGTTCACGTTTTCTGGTATTGTGGATAGCTTCTTCAGCATATTCAATGTCTCTGACTCAACGAGGAGCATTATTAATTTAGTGCTGCCAATGGTGAAAACTCTTTTGAAGCAACTAGCTTCTAGGTGGTCCTTCCTTGCATCGATCATATCCTTTGATGGATAATTCTCCGAATGAGGTCGGGGATATGATCTCTGTTCTTCAGTGGAACTGTAGAAGTCTTATGCCAAAACTTGACACATTTAAATTTTTAGTTAACAACTCACTTTCTGATGCATTTGCCCTTTGTGAAACATGGCTCTCTTCAGACAACGATCTTGCTTTCCACGATTTCAACATTATACGCCTTGACCGCGCAGATTCGTATGGAGGGGTGCTTCTGGGGATCAACAAGCTCCATTCCTTGTATAGAATCGATCTGCCTTCAGTGACAGGCATTGAAGTAGTTGCATGTCAGGTTAATATTCGAGGTAAATGCCTCAGTATTGCCTCAGTATATCTTCCACCGAAAACCGCGATCTCTCGTCAAAGTTTCGCGGATATCTGCACGGCTATGCCGGAGCCACGGTTGATCTTGGGAGATTTTAACTCTCACGGTACAGGCTGGGGGGAACTGTACGACGACAACCGCTCAACCTTGATATACGACATGTGCGACTTCTTCAAAATGACAATTCTGAACACCGGGGAAGCAACACGAGTAGCCAAACCTCCAGCAAAAATAAGCAGATTAGACCTCTCACTTTGTTCGAGTTCACTATCGTTGGATTGCTCGTGGAAAGTAATTCAAGATCCCTACGGTAGTGACCATTTGCCAATCAAAATTTCTATTACCAATGGTTCATCTTCTACTCGCTCGGTCGACATCGCGTACGATCTTACGAAAAACATTGACTGGCGAAAATTCGCGTCCGCGGTTCTTGATGCCAGTCAATCGGTTGACGTACTTCCTCCGCTGGACGAGTACTCCTTTCTCGCGCGTGTCATCATCGATTCTGCGCTGCGAGCACAGACGAAACGTGTTCCGGGTGTTTCCGTCCGCAAGCGACCTCCCACCCCGTGGTGGGATAAGGATTGCACCGACGCGAACAGCGAGAAGTCCGCCGCGTTTAAACGCTTCCGCAAACACGGTAAGGTCGGGGATTTCGAGCGGTACACCGACCTCGAGAAAACCTTTAAAGACTTAATTAAAGCAAAAAAACGCGGATACTGGCGTCGGTTCGTCGATGGTTTGTCGCGAGAGACTTCCATGAGAACACTCTGGAATGTCGGCAGGAGAATGCGAAACGCGTCATCACCGATTAATGAAGACAAGGAGTACTCGGACAGATGGATTTTCAGCTTCGCGCGGAAAGTTTGCCCGGATTCGGTACCGGTTCAAACCAACGTTCGTGATCGTCCGTCGGGTAATAACGAAATAGATTCCCCGTTTTCGATGGTGGAATTCTCACTTGCTCTCCTTTCATGTAACAATTCAGCTCCAGGAATGGATAGAATCAAGTTCAACTTGCTCAAAAATCTCCCAGACGTCACGAAGAGACGCTTGTTGAACTTATTCAATCAATTTCTGGAGCACAACATTGTTCCGGATGATTGGAGGCAAGTAAGAGTTATCGCCATTCGAAAACCCGGTAAACCCGCGTCGGATTATAACTCGTACCGTCCCATCGCGATGCTGTCCTGTATACGGAAATTGTTGGAGAAAATGATTCTTTTTCGTCTAGACAAATGGGTCGAGTCGAATGGTTTACTTTCAGATACGCAATTTGGATTTCGGAGAGGCAAAGGAACGAGCGACTGTCTTGCGTTGCTTTCAACTGAAATTCAACTGGCCTATGCGCAAAAACAGCAAATGGGTTCAGTTTTCTTGGACATTAAGGGGGCTTTTGATTCTGTTTGTATCGATGTCCTTTCGGATAAACTCCACGATTGTGGGCTTTCACCAATTATGAACAACTATTTGAGCAACTTGTTGTCTGAGAAATATATGAGCTTTTCTCATGGAAACTCGACAACTTCACGAATTAGTTACATGGGTCTCCCCCAGGGCTCATGTTTAAGCCCCCTTCTTTATAATTTTTATGTAAAAGACATTGATGGTTGTCTTGATGAAAATTGCTCGCTTAGGCAGCTTGCAGATGACGGGGTTGTGTCCGTTATAGGGCCAAGTGCACCGGACCTGCAAGGACCATTGCAAGATACCTTAGACAATTTGTCTACTTGGGCAATGAAGCTGGGTATCGAATTCTCTCCGGAGAAAACTGAGTTGGTTGTTTTTTCTAGGAAGCATCATCCTGCACAGTTACAGCTTCAACTAAAGGGTAGAACAATCACTCAAAGTATATCTTTCAAGTATTTAGGTGTCTGGTTCGATTCCAAAAGCACGTGGGGAAAACATATTGCGTATGTGAAACAAAAATGCCAACAAAGAATCAATTTTCTTCGTACAATTACCGGAACTTGGTGGGGAGCACACCCGGAAGATCTGATCAGGTTGTATCGAACAACCATCTTGTCGGTTCTAGAGTACGGTAGCTTCTGCTTTCAATCCGCGGCGAAAACACATATCTTGAAGCTGCAACGAGTTCAATACCGTTGCCTCCGAATCGCGCTTGGCTGTATGCACTCGACGCATACGATGAGCCTCGAAGTACTCGCGGGTGTTCTTCCACTGACAGATCGTTTCGCGGAGCTGTCCTTTCGGTTTCTTATCCGTTGTGAAGTAATGAACCCATTGGTAATAGAAAACTTTGAGAAGCTGCTCGACAGAAATCCTCAAACAAGATTCATGAGTCTCTATTACGATTACATGACGCTGGAGATTGGCCCTTCTTCATTCAATTCCTCTCGTGTTTGCCTCCAAGACTTTTATAGTTCCTCTGTAAATTTTGATCTGACCATGTTGCAAGAAATCCGTGGAATACCAGATCACCATCGGTCGATGGTTGTTCCCTTAATTTTTGCAAACAAGTACCACCATGTTAGTAACAATAAGAGTTTTTTCACAGATGGGTCAACTATAAACGCTTCCACTGGATTTGGAGTATTCAACGAATTTCATAGCGCCTCATATCAACTGCAAAAACCCTGTTCCGTATACGTTGCGGAACTAGCAGCCATATTTTACGCAGTAGAGCAAATTGCCTCACTACCATCTGATCACTATTTTATTTTTACTGATAGCCTTAGCTCGTTGGAGGCTATTCGATCAATGAGGCCGATGAAGCACTCCTCGTATTTCCTGACCGAAATCCGAGCTAAATTGAGTACTTTATCTAACTGCTCCTATACTATCACCTTAGTTTGGGTCCCATCTCATTGCTCAATTCCGGGCAATGAGAAAGCGGACTCGCTAGCTAAGGTGGGCGCTATGGAAGGCGATATTTTTGATCGACAAATCGCCTTTGCGGAATTTTTCTCAATTACCCGTCAGCACGTCCTCACCAACTGGCAACAAAAATGGAATGAGAGTGTTCTGGGAAGATGGTTACATTCTATTCTCCCACAGGTATCGAACAAGCCATGGTTCAAAGGATTGGACATGAGCCGTGACTTTATACGTGTCATATCAAGGCTCATGTCCAATCACTACTCGTTAGACTCGCATTTCTTCCGAATCGGGCTCGCAGGCAGCAATTTGTGCGCTTGTGGTAGTGGCTATCACGATATCGACCACGTGCTTTGGTCATGCACCCTACATTGTGTTGCTAGATCCGAGTTATCCGCATCCCTCAGGGCCCGAGGAAAACAACCTATGCGGCCCGTTAGAGACATCTTGGCGAGCCGAGATCTCGATTATTTTAATTTAATTTATGTGTTTTTAAAACGGATCGATCTGAGGATTTAGTAGTTAGTGTCATCTTGTGTTCTCTCAAGTTGCTAGGTCTCCATCGGTGTACCCCCATGTTTGTCTTTTTCTCCAGTATGTCGCTTAGTTCTAGATCAAGAGCACATTGCTCTAAAAAACCTTGTGTTCTCAATCCCTACCCTGCCACCCGTTTGTTACAATTTGTTACCCCTAACCTCGAGAAAGCCGCGAGTAATCGGCCCCCGCTTTACTAACGTTAGTTTTAAGTAATTTTGTACCCAAACGATGAATATCGGCTCCGCAAAGCTACGGCAAATGAGCCTGGAAAAATAAACGCATTATAAAAAAAAAAAAAAAAACCTTACATTGGATGTAAGGGAAATTTGTTTTGCGTGTACTGTAGATATAATGATTTATAGACAACCGAAACATACCTCATATTCAGAGTACTTCATGAAGAGCCCTTTCTTCTCCGGGATGACTTTGACCAAGATACTAGGTTCACTAGGGCGTCCCTCTCCAGAATCATCACCTGCAAAATAAGATAGAAACATACATTCATGAGCAACCATAAATAACCACTTCGACATCGTGAGCACGTATGTACTTCTTTCATTCATGCTTTCAGAAGGTTTCCCTTTGTTTTGTATGTGTCTGATCCTCAAACATCAGCCGAAACTATTGAATCCACAAGTCGACAGTCAATTCCTTAGCACTATTGCCTCGATCAACAACATGACGACGGCGACTGGTCATAAAATGTATAATCCACAAATCTACGCTTATCAAATACGAAATCGATGACACACTGCTAAACAAGATGCTAATTCAGCCACCAGAAGAGCAACCACCATAACTGTTTCACTTATCACGTCGCCGCCGATCGGCGATCGACGTCGCCAGACAAACCGACAGACACATTTGTAGGTATTCTTATTAGGGTGATACATACAAGTTACTCCACCCAGCTCAAACGATTCCAAATCAGGGCCTGATCACTCTCATATAATTTGAGTTCATTTGGTTGCGAGCTCATACTGCACTTGACGGCCCTTTTAAGTTTGTATGGGAATTAATTATCAGCTGCTTCCAAATGAGTTCAAATGATGGGCGAACGATCAGGGCCTGATTTGAAATCGATCGAGCTGGGTGGAGCAAAATCGGCATCGGTATTGAACCACCCTAGTCTACATCTAGGTGAATCGAGAACAAGATCTCGCACAGTCCGAACTGGAAGGTTGAAAGCGCAAGAGTCGTCATTTTTATTATTTTAACTCGAGACTTGTACGTCCCCCGATAAACAAAGGGCGATCAACGGACGAAGATCTATAACCTACAAGTGCGAGACAAGATCAAAGGTTACTGAACTGTTGATCGGGTAGATGTACTCATTGGCGCCGCCATCACTACTAGAAGCAAATCGTAAAGCGATCTTCTGGGTTGCATCTAAATGTACACTCAATTATGTTTTAACGCGATTTTTTTCTCGCTTCTCTATTTGATCGTGTGATTTCATATTGAAACCAAATTTAATGCAGCTGGTTTAAAAAAAAATCACAAATAAATCAAAGAAAAATAGGGGAAATGGATGTAATGTCGGCCTAAATGCACCTCATTTGGGCCCATACATAAATTCAGCAATCGACTAAATTTTCAATAGCGACCAAATATGGATGTTAGTTCCGTCCCAATGACGCGTTCGTCTAGATATAACTGATAAATAGCAGATTTTTAACGATGGGCCCAATCTTAGATCCATCGGCCAACATTAGAGCCATTAACCCTATATAAAAAAAATTAAAACCGTGCAAAATCAGAATTGATTGCATCGTAAATATGATGTAAACAGAAGTAAATTGCTCAATTACTCAAAATAAAGATGATTTGTCATCTTGTTATCACTTTGAAGACCATCTAGCACCATTGTTTAGTATGGTGCGTGTTGAGTAAATCAAGTTCCGGTGCGTTTTCCGTCGAAAATTGTGAGTATCAATATGTTTGCTTAAAAAAGGCCAAAATGAACATTTATTGAATATTGGCGCCCTATACAACCAATTCTCTATTACCACCAGCATGATACAACCTTTCCTAAGTAAATTCACTTAATTTCCACTTTCATCTTAGTGAAAATCGCACATATTTACCATTTTCTGAAAAATGCAGCTGGTGCAGGAGGTAACCTCTCCCTGTGGGTGCAAACTTGTTATGCATAATTTGCCATGAAAACATCTCCGATCCATACCGAAATAATAACAAATAGTTTTCAAACACGTTTTCTTACACGATTCAAGCAAAAGTTTCCACGGGAAATTATTAGTTTTTCTTTATGGACCGATTTGCCCCAAAAAGCGTCTGTAGCGTATCCTCCTTCTAGTAGTTCTCACTTCGAAATGTAGGTGGCGGAAGCTTGGAAAAGTTTCACTGCAAGGCGCCAATAATGACACGTGAGTTGGTGGAGTTGGTAGGGGAGAACCAAGGCGGATAATCACAAGCAGGCTGGAACCCATGGTCCGCTAGTATTCTTGAGTTATTTGCCGTTAATGTTCATAAAAATTTCACTATTTTGCCATAAAAGGTGCCAAAACAAAACAAGTTTACGGGCGGATTTGGACAGATTTGGACCGGTTTCATACGACCAGAACGTGTATACTGGTCACAAATGCCTTGTCAAATTGATTTCCTACGCAAGCGACGTGAATTTCGCAAATACTCCTTGTTGTAAAATCAATGTAATTTTACTTTGATGAACACCTCCATAAAATTGTTATCCCCAAATAAAGAACATGAGAGCCCAGAGTAGAATTGATGGCGTAAAGCAACACATGTATTTTTATTCTGTGATCAGAAACACGGTTTCAGAACTGAAAAATAAACTGATTTTTCAATAGTTTTTCGCGTTCGGAAACCAATCGTACCACTACCACCACCGCTATACTTGGAAGGAGACATGGAAGAAAATTTTAATTTCTTCGAATCCAATTGGAAAAATTATGCTGTCGCTGTCGGAATGAATGATTGGCCTGAGGGAGAGAACTAGAAGAAAGTCAGTTTCTTACTATCGATAATCGAAACGGATGCTCTCAAACGATATTTCAACTTTGAGCTCAGTGATCAGCAAAAGGCAGCAATTAAAGCGAAGGTGATTCCAGACGTCATCGTTGACCTATGGAATTTTTCTCCGCAGTTCAGGTAACGACTGAAACGATTGATGAATACGTCAGCCGTTTGAAGATACTTGGAAAACCGTGTCGTTTTGGGAACTTGGAGCAGGAAATGGTTGTTCAAGATGGTGTTCAAGATAGTTACGTCCAACACGTGGACGAATTTGAAGACGAAAATGCTTACGATGCCGGATATTAATTTGTCAAAAGCAATTGATCTTTGTCGGATGGAGGAAATCCCTGCACGTCATTCGAAGCAGCTATCGATGGAACCACGAATCGGTACTTTTTTTTTGCTGAATTTGGTCTGTAAAATGTAATTTTTACCGAATGTTTGGTAAAATTTGATGTTTTTTTCCGAGGGAGGCGACACATCTAAATCTCAAATCTAGATGCTCAACAAATCTCACACTAGAGAATCAATCTTCGAAAAATCTTCTTTCATTTCTCGCATCTACTTGCATCGCGCATAATATTTTTGCAGGAAATCTTCAGAATCGTCATCAATCTTCTTTCTATCTACTCAGCGTGCGCGCAGCTAGCCACAGCAAAACACAATCTTTTCTGCATCGTAGATAGAGTCGTCCCCCTCGGTTTTTTCACTTTCCAGCAATTAAAAAAACTGCATTTCGGTAATTTTCTGCAAATTACTGAAATGCAGTTTTTTAATTGCTGGAAAGTGAAAAAACCGAGGGGGACGACTCTATCTACGATGCAGAAACATTACTGATCGAAACTTTAAATGCCTGAAATCCCGCAATACTGTCAAAAATTGACGAATGTACTGTAAAAACAGTCTTTTACAAACCAGACTGTAAAAAGTACCGAACGGTTTGTGTAAATTTTCTATACTGCCAAACTCAACATTTCTCCGTCATTTTAAAATTGAATATTGCGCAGCTCTCCGTAGTTAAAGTGCGTTATTTAATGTAAGTGCCTAAAAATGGAAGACATACTTTAACAAATTGGAGCTCTCGATGGAGGAGCAAGAGATCTTTTCCGTAAGTAAAATTAAAATACATTTTTTTTTTCATTGTGCTTTGTACATGGATCTTCAGATGCATGAAGAACCCATCATTTGGTTTTTTTTTCTGCGGTCAGGCGATTCCGGGACATGTATAAGGGCTCGGGTGCCATGTTAATTGGGACATTGAAAAGGGTCATTTTCAAGAAAATTTCGCGTTTTTTTATTGTACATACCAAAGGTGCCAAATGCGCTATCAGCATATGCGTTTCGTGCAGAGGCACCTTAAGGAAAAGCATGCTCCGAGTTCAGAGCTTGAAGAAGCATGGACTCCAGGTGAACCTGGAAGAAGTCAATTGACATCGAATAAACACAAGGAGGATTGATTATAGCAAAACTTGACATTGACTTCTTGCCGCAAGATATCACTAATACAACCTTGCTAGTGTAACCGTGTAAAATCGATTTGTTTATTATTATCCACCACGAAATCCGCTGACAAGGTGTTCGACTTGACATCGGTTTGTTTTTTTTTTTTTTTTTTTTCAACCAGTAAAACGCATGTATTAGTGAAACTGCTCACTAATACCATAGAGGTAACTCTAAGACCAGAAGGTCCCGAAGAAACGTGCTCAACTTTTTGGCTCAGCTCTGGTACTCTCTTCGGTCCCTAGCTAATCGATGCACCCCTCGAAACATAGGAAAATCCACGAACCCCTCATTTTATCTGTCAAACTTTCATAGCGAATCAAAACAACATAGTGTAGTACTAGAATTTCGAATAGAATGGGGTACGCTTATAGATATACTTGGGACCAATATGGTAGTCAAGTAGTGAGTCAATTTAAAATCGTTAGTTTCCACCGGTTGCTAATACCACAGACAAACAGACATAACACTCGCAAGTTGTTCATCGAACAAGCATTTAACGGACAATTCAAAAGTATCGTAGTTGGTAGTACCGCCACCTGTGGCGCGCATAGTCAATTCCCTTGCGTTTGACGTTTACACACTACCCCCATCTGTTCAGCGTAGTGCCTACCACAGTGTACTCAACAGATGGCGGTAATGTTTTAGCGACAATGTTTTACAGTGAGAAATATTCAATGTGTTATGTCTGTTTGTCTGTGCTAATACTAACGGTGGTTGAGAAGTCTATATACAATCGTCGTAGTCAGGGCTGGTAGCAGGTCACTTTTTAGTGACTTGGTCACTATTTTGAAGCCAGTCACTAAAAAGACACTTTTTACACCAAAAAGTCACTAAAGTCACTATTTCCATTAAAATAGTCACTAAAGTCACTTTTTCACAACTAAAATAGAGTGAAATTAAAAAAAAAATGATACTTGGCACTAAGAAAGTCTACAGTAGTTTTAACAAAGTATACATATCTGTTAAAAAATTGAT